GGGATAAAGAGCTGCTGCTCTTTGCTTGGTGTTAACGACCCATAAAGCACAATTATACAGACATCCTGTTTCCTCTTTCGCGCTGCTAAGTTACTAGGGACAGGTGCAGAGGTAAGGGACTGGAAAGTGATTGATGGTGAACCACCAACCCTAGTTAGCTTTAGCATTGTGCTGACATAAGCCAGAACCATGATGGTGCCTAGCACAGAATGGGATGGAAGTTTTCGCTCAGCACGCGTCAGAACCTATAACCCTATATATGCACCACCGTGAGTTTCATGTTAAGGCAGGTAGGCTATAAATGGGAGACATGCATTAAACCTTTCATTTATCTCTATCTCCATCAGCCATTTTGTCTGGTTCTAATGCCAGGTTTAAAAATAAAATAAAAATGGCACGCGCTGGGTGGCAGCCAGTCAGGCCGGTCTGCAGCTAGCCCAAAGGCAACCCGTTGTGCCCGTATTTCAACACACCGCCAACTTTCTCCTTGAAGGGAACAGGCGCTTAGAACGGAGGGGAGCGCCGAAACTCAAAACGCTAACACAAATGTTTCCCATTAAAATTCAATCAACACTACAGCCAGACTACCAACTGAGACCGGGATCTGACTGATCGGAGAATGTCACCGGCTTTTCAAGACCGAGAACTGAAAAGAATACCGAGAAAGACTCAATAAAAATACTCTATACAGAAATGTCATAATCTTAAACACATGTGCGTATATGGAATGTGAGCACATGGACGTTTTTATTTAGAGCTACGCACAGGGGGACAGAGCTTGAGGTGAAGAGCTCTGCATTTGGGTAGGGGCTTGGCCTTCCCTCCCCCCCCCCCAATGCCTGGATTGCGCTTCCCTTCACCGTTAGGCCTTTAACAACATTTCTAAAATGTTGCTCTGGTTGTCTAAAATGGGCAGCAGCCATGGGAATTTTAAATGTGTTGGATCTGAGCACAGGATAGCAGACAACGGTACAAGCCAGCCTTCCAGTGTTCAGATGCTGCACCAGAACCTACTGGTTCAAATTACAAGGAAGGGAATGTTGCTAAGATTTTCCTCACTGTAGAACAAACAGCCTATGGAGGCGGTGGACTCTCCTTTGTCCAACTGCACTAGCTGCCAATTAGTTTTCAGGCCCATCTCAAAGTGCTGGTATTGACCTATAGAATCTTAAACAGCAATACCTCAAGGACCGCCTCTTTCCATATGAACCTGCCCAGACCCTGAGATCACCTTCTGAGGCCCTTCTTCGTGTGCCTCCTACATGAGAGTTCTGGAGGGTGGCAACACAAGACTGGGCCTTTTCTGCAGTGGCTCCCTGTTTGTGGAATGCTCTCCCCAGGAAGGCTCGCCTGGCGCCTGCATTATACACCTTTAGACGCCAGGCAAAAACATCCCTCATCTCCCAGACCTTTGGCTGACTGACTTCCAACGCCCTTTTAAAATGTGGTGTGTTTTTCTTGGGGGGGGGAACACTACTGGGTTGTTTTTGGTTTTATTATTTATTTTGTGATTTTATATATGTTGTGAACCACCTTGAGACCTGGGGGGATAGAGGGCGGTATGCAAATTTAATAAATAATAACAATAACAATAATTGTTAGAACAAAAAAAATTCCTTCCAGTAGCACCTTAAAGACCAACTAAGTTAGTTCTTGGTATGAGCTTTCGTGTGCATGCACACTTCTTCAGATGCCCAGTCTTGTGTTGCCACACTTGTGTATCTGAAGAAGTGTGCATGCACACGAAAGCTCATACCAAGAACTAACTTAGTTGGTCTTTAAGGTGCTACTGGAAGGAATTTTTTTTGTTTTGACTATGGCAGACCAACACGGCTACCTATCTGTAACTAATAATTGTTAGAGGCTTTTAAGCAAAGGTGACTAATCAAGGCTGCTGCAACAGCAGATCTGCATCTTGTGATGCAGGTAAATTCTCCTATGCAGCCAGACGCAAGTGCCTTAATACTGAAAACTCTGGCAACTTGTAACGGCTGGAGCTACAACTAGGGCCTGGGGCTGTGGATTCTGAACATCGGACATCAATAGGTAAGTCACAAGTCCAAGCCATCTCAATTTGCTGCTTTTCATTTCTACTTAATAGGGAGGGAGGGTGAGGTGGAAAAAAACAACACACACACACACACACCCCACAAATGGAAATCGTTTGATGAGCTTATTCGACTGCAGGTCACGAATGAATTGCTTCTTTCTTAATACTGAGCTCAAATGATTAGCTTTCTTGCTTTCATGATCACTGGCTTCAAGCAAGGAGGGGAAAAATAAAGTATAAAACACCATAGCCCCTGGGTAGACTTATTTACCATGAACGACTCACACAGAGTTATGCATGACTGCGAGCACCCACCTTCCCCCAAAACTGGCAACGTTACAGGGAGCATTTTTATTTTAAATGAAAGTGGTGAAGGTGTGAGCTTCACTCGGGAAAGTTTCGCCATTACAGTGAGAAGCACAAATGCGCTTTTCTTCAGCATTAGGCATGAATTATATATTGATCCAACACCTCAGATGTGGCCATAGTGAAGAAAATCTAAACTGACATTTTGCTTACTGGTTTTCCTCGTCTCTCTTTAGGGACAATGGGTGATATTATTAAAGGCAGAGGTTTGATAAAACTCGCGATTCCCGACTGTCACAGCTGGGGGGCATCCACCTGAAGTTGCCACATCAAATGCCCACCTCCTGTATGCTAAACTGGGTAAAAAAGGTAAAGGGACCCCTGACCATTAGGTCCAGTCGTGACCGACTCTGGGGTTGCGGCGCTCATCTCGCTTTATTGGCCGAGGGAGCCAGCATACAGCTTCCAGGTCATGTGGCCAGCATGACTAAGCCGCTTCTGGCGAACCAGAGCAGCGCACACAAACGGCGTTTACCTTCCTGCCAGAGCGGTACCTATTTATCTACTTGCACTTTGACGTGCTTTTGAACTGCTAGGTTGGCAGGAGCAGGGACCGAGCAACGGGAGCTCACCCCGTTGCGGGGATTCGAACCACCAACCTTCTGATCGGCAAGTCCTAGGCTCTGTGGTTTAACCCACAGCGCCACCCGCATCCCTAAAACTGGGTAAGATGATGATTTTATTATCCTTTTATCCTACCCTTTATCACAAGATCTTTGGGCGTTTCACAGAATAAAATAAAAGATAAAAACGTAAGTAGCAACAAAGCAATAACCTTCCCCACTTCCCATAGACGCATTTAAAAGACTGAAGAATATGAATCAGCCCAAGGCCTGGTTGAAGAGGAATGTTTTCGCCTGGCGCCTAAAAATGATATAATGAAGGCGCTAGGCATACCTCCCTGGGGAGAACATTCCACAAATGGGGAGCCACTACAGAGAAGGCCCCGTTCTAATTTTGCCAACCTCCACACCTTATGTGGAGGAGGCACACAAAGAAGAGCCATGGGTAATGATCACAAGAGTCTGGGATGGCTTATATGATGAGAGAAGGTCCACATCCACATAATGTATGTGTCTGAACCACCCATGTTACCCTCCCAACAAACCAGTGCAGTGAGTCCATTTGGCAGAGAGTGACTGGCACAGTTAAGTTTCATGACGAAGAGGAATTTGAACCCAGGTCTCCCAGGCTAAAGACTTGCACTCTAGCCATTCCACTGCATTACCTCCTTCCTCACCATAAATATGGCAGTTGCTATGGAGTCAAGGAGTTGGGGGGGCCTTTTAGGTCAACCTTCTGCCTGGAAGCCCTCCAAAAGATGGCTGCCCACACTCTACTCAAAGACCCCAAACGTCTGTCCAAATGGACAAGAACAGGGGCTGGGGAACATTTGTCCCTCAAGATGTTCCCATTACTGTTGTTTCGTTTACGAATCTCTTCCCACAAGGCACCTCAAAGGGATTTGCGATGCAGCATATATAAAACAGATACATATATAAAAAAACAGGTGAACAGCACAAAATCAATTCAAATCCAAGGCAGCTACTGAGTGAGGTACAGATTTTGGAAGATTCGTTGAAGGAGGAATGCATGTAGCAGACTCCAAAAAGACAGCAGAGAAGAAGAAGAAGAGTTTGGATTTGATATCCCGCTTTATCATTACCCGAAGGAGTCTCAAAGCGGCTAACAATCTCCTTTCCCTTCCTCTCCCACAACAAACACGCTGTGAGGTGAGTGGGGCTGAGAGACTTCAGAGAAGTGTGACTAGCACAAGGTCACCCAGCAGCTGCATGTGGAGGAGCGGGGAATCGAACCCTGTTCACCAGATTACGAGTTCACCGCTCTTAACCACTACACCACACTGGCTCTCATAGAAGGAGCACGTCTGGTATGCAATGCGGAGGGCAGGAGTTCTAAAGGTAGGTTGGTGCAACCCCAACTAAAGGCCCAAATCTGATGTTGTGCTAAGTAGACTTCCTGATAGGATGGCATCTGCAGGATGCCCTCTCCTGCAAAACACAGTGAATAGTTGGGAACCTAGAGGATGGATGACTTTTTAAGGCATCCTGGTCCCAAGCTGCATAGCCCTTGGAGCACCAGTACCAGCCCAGTAGCTAACTGGTATCCCATGCAATTCTTTCAGCGCTGGTGTAATATCATGGGGTTAGTCCATCCCAGTGAGTAGTTGACCATCCACATTTTGCACCTTCTGCAGCTTCTGGGCTAGCCTCAAGGAAGTCCAGCAGCCCAGCCACCATGCCAAAGGCAACAGGACCTTCTCAAAGTTCATGCACCTGTCTAAGGGACCTTCTTATGGAGCAGTGGTCCAGCTCCAAATAAAATAGCGTCTTCGAGGGCTGCGAAGCTAAACTGCAAGTCATCCACGCTTCCTCTAAAAGTTTGGCAAACTGAAAATGTTTAAGGCTGTCCGTTAAACCTTCGTGAACAATGCTTAATTTTCGTTGGTGAAAGGACAGAGCAAAAGCAATGGATCCACGGGTGATCAGCCAAGGATATTAATTGGGCAGACATGTGCTTTCCACATAAAACAGGAATGTTCTCTTAATAAAGGCTTCCTTACCTTGAATGCACTGAAGAGTCCCATCTTCTCCCCTTATTGTAAAAGTTTCACCTGGATTAACTTGGACAAAAATAACCTGCCAAAATAAAGAACCTGATGTCAGAATCTTATAAAGAACATATCCATGAACTGTATGTATTCTTTCCAGAACATAGGCATGAAACAAGATATTTGAGGGGGGGACTGTGGGACTTAACTAAATCATCGTTTCCCAACCTGAAACCCTCAATATGTTGTTGAGACTCCAAATCCCATCAGCCCCAGCCAACATGGCCGATGACCTGGGATGAAGGGAGTTGTAGCCCAAAACATTTGGGAGGCCAACAGCTTAGGGAAAGTTAAACTAGAGAAGTCCTGGAATTATTTATTTTTTATTAAATTTCTATATTGCCCTTCATCCGAGGATCACAGGGAGGGTTACAATATAAAAACACAGAAATACATGACATAACAATATTGGATACAAAAGAAAGCCAGCGTGACTAAACAACAGAATAGAAGATGTTAGAATATAAAAGTATCGCCTGAAAGAAAAACGCACATGTTCCGTCAAGCCAAAATATAAATCTGCAAAAAGGCAAGCCAAGACCAAACAGTTGAAGGGGGGAGGGACATTTTTTTAAAAACTGATGCTAAGCAGAAAACAAGCCAGGGAAGCAATGGTACTATGGTAATAACAAATAATAGTGTGAAGAAAGACTGGGAAATGGAGAGAAATTTTATTAAGGACCAGACCCCAGCAATATTGCTCCTTTAATCCCAACACTGGCTTTTTGTCTGTTCCTGGATCGGCAAATACTCCTCATCCATATCTTAACAGCCTCTGTAACCTTTCCCCCGCCCATTTATTTACTTTCCCCCTGTATCCTGTTACATCCCTGCCCTGCAACCTTCCCTCCTCTAGCAGCATAACACCTTTGGCACAATCCCTTAGGCCAGAAAGGCTATAGAAAGGAAGGCACCATGGACGCTCGGGTTGCGAACGTGATCCGTGAGGGAGGCACGTTTGCAACCCGCAGCATCCGCAACCTGCAGCACCACATCTGCGCATGCATAAAACGCGATCTGGTGCATTTGCGCATGCGCGAGCGCCAAAACCCGGAAGTAACCGGTTCCGGTACATCCAGGTTTCAACATGTCCATAACCCAAAAACGTGCAACCTGAAGTGTCTGTAACCCAAGGTATGACTGTATACCTAACTAAATAAATGCACACTCCACCCCTGTTCTGTCTTGCTATCATCTTCCTCCTCTCTCCTTTTACAGTCTCACCTGTGTCCAATTCTAGACTGCCAGGTCTTCAGGGCAAGGGACTGCCCTCTTACATTTTGTAGAGAGCAATGCTCTTAGATGTCACTATTGCACATACATGCAACAGTATGCTATCGGGAGTGGGGGGTGGGGTGGGAACTGCTGCAGAATGTATTTTTGCACAGCTATGACTGCTCACACAAATGGCCTGCTTGCACGAGCGGCGTAACAGAGATCGCGCCTCCGCTTCCATCATCGCAAACCACAACCTGCAATTTTCCCTGTGCGTGGAAGGGTGATCTCGTGCAAGCTCATTCCTCCCAGTACCACCCATTAGTAATCTTGTAATTCAATGAACACAAGGGAAGATTGCCAATGGGCAGTGTGCAGGTGCCTGGGAGCACACCCCGACCACACTTAGCACGTCCAGAGTCAATTTTATGCGTCATAAAACACCCCAAATCTTTCTCTCGCCCCCCCATATACGAGCAATTATTTGCAAGATTTAGCGGGGCGCACTATCTCCTTAGCGTGCATTAACCTGTTTCATAACGCTTGGTTATACAGTTCACTACAAGATGTCAGCACACAAAACTGGTGTGTGAAAGAGGCAGGGTGCATGTTGTTGCCCCAGGCCCATTAAACGCAGATTTGGAAAAATGATTAGAATGACTAAAAACATGGAACACTGTTAGTTTTGCTTCAGTGGAATAGAACATGATTATTGCTCTCAGAGACTGCAAACATGATCTCCTCTCGGTTAACCTAGACTGAAAGCTTCCAAAGAAAACACGCTACAGCATTTGTTGAGTTATAGTCATGCTAAGCTAATGCATGCGTAAGTTTTTATTCTCTTTATTTAATCTGATTTTTTAAAAACGTTGTGTGGGGCGGGGGCGGGAATCCATTCCGTGTCCACTGCTTTCTGACATGGCAATGCTAGAGAGGCTTACCACCACCACCCAAGTCACAGCTGTCGCCCTTTTCATTGCACACAAGAACATCTGACATGAAAAGCCGTTTTCAAAAGACGTGGCATCTTCCTGTATTAAGGGCTTCCAAACACAAACAAGGAGGAAAGAGCTATCTATAGCTACTGTTTACATTGCACATCTTAGCAAGCAGCAGTATCCTGAGCGCAGCGTGAGGCTGTCTAGGTTTATTTTAGTCACCAGTGTCTGAAAGGGTCATATCCTAATGGCACAAAAGTTTACAGAGTCCGAAGCAAATGATCCTGCAGAGTCGAAGGGTCAGATAACAGAATGTGGGTACTTGAAAAAGGGGGGTGCATCAAAAATCTGGGGGCGCAATTAGCTTCTGCAAGCCAGTTCAATGTTACCCCATAACACACCCATGTTGGTGAAGCTAACTCTTTACTCAAAGAAACCAAAGCAGCTCAGGCCTAGTGATCACAGCAACTCTTCCCAGTGGGGCTAAGGCTTCATCCCCAGCAACCTGAGGCTCCTTCCTCTTGTCTCTCTTTGCTCCACCCTCTTCATTCCTTCTCGTGTTCTGGGAGACCAGGGGGAGGGGAGCTGGTCACAGCAGGAGGGGGAGACCCCCTGGCTTCTTTAGCCGCCTGCCTCATCTCTGTCGCTTGGGCCCCCTCTGCTACTGCCTCTGATTCTTGACTGCTCTCTGCCCCAGCCTCTTCCTGCTCACTAAACCCTGTTACCTATTCGGCTTCTGACACCTCCTCCTCCTCCCAGTCTGCTCCCTCTTCTCCCTCTTACCACTCATGGCCTTCCCACCATCCATTTCCTGGCTCTGAGCCTTTCCCTTGGGAAGCTGCTTCCCTTCCCAGCTGCTGCCCCCTCCCCACTCCTCTACATCCAGCCAGTCCATAACACAGGCTGAGCTTCTGTCCTGTGGAATCTGCAAAATGCACTCATCTACCTCGTCCCCCTTTTGCAAACCAACATGGTTGCCATTCACTTCTATGGAGGTGTGGGAAGCAAAGCATTAATACTATAGAGAAGTATGCAAAAAGCACCCAGGTTCAGTTCCCTGCATTTCTAGTTAAAAGATTCAGTTGCAGGCAATGGGGACACGGTTGCAGTAATGGAGAAATGGGCCATCTGTGCTAAATGGGCAAACTGGACAGCAATCCCACAAGAGTGAGCCAGGTTTCTGCATGAAAAACATGCACACCTCCTGTATCGCCCTCCAGTTGTCCTTGCCATTTTCAAGCCCCCAAGGTGAATTAGTGGCCCCTGGGGACAGAGGAAGACTTTTACGTTCTCCTCCCCACAACACAACCCAAAAAAACTCTAGGGCACTAGATGAGCTTTCTCATTGCTTCCAATTTTACAATTCTATGTAAAAGAAACGTAAAGGACCCCTGACCATTAGGTCCAGTCGTGACCGACTCTGGGGTTGCGGTGCTCATCTCGCTTTATTGGCCGAGGGAGCCGGCGTACAGCTTCCGGGTCATGTGGCCAGCATGACTAAGCCGCTTCTGGCGAACCAGAGCAGCGCACGGAAACACCGTTTACCTTCCCGCCGGAGCGGTATCTATTCATCTACTTGCACTTTGATGTGCTTTCGAACTGCTAGGTTGGCAGGAGCAGGGACTGAGCAACGGGAGCTCACCCCGCCATGGGGATTCAAACCGCTGACCTTCTGATCGGCAAGTCCTAGGCTCTGTGGTTTAACCCACAGCACCACCCGTGTCCCGTACAATTCTATGCAGCAACCAATTAAAGTGCAGCCGGGGGAACTCCAAACCGGAGTGACATCACACAGAGCATTTTGTCACTTTGCTGCATGAATGGGTGGTGTGTATGCACAGCCGTTCGCAGCAACATTAGCAGACAGAGAGACCAATGGCACAGGACTGCTGTTTTTGGCAGCAGTCAGGCATCTCCAATAGCCTTTTAGTTCCAGCATCTTCCCAAAAAGGTACAGCGGTTTCCAAGGCCTTGATACAGGAAACCCATCAATGGTTTTGAGCCGCCTCCAGGCCTGATTCCCAGACAGCCCCCGTTTCTGATCTTCAGCTCAAGGCACACAAAATTCTTTCTGCCACGTTGGTTCCACAGTGCTCAAGACTGAGAGAGACCGCCGGCCCCTCCCGTCAAAATTCCTGAAGTCCTTCTGAGACTATGGCATTACTGCAAGGTACCATGCTATGTTTAGCGCTAAGCCTGATGATCTTTCCACTGATAATAAAGGCAAAAGACCCCCTTTCAGAACATCAAGAAGATGTTTGGAAATTAAGAACGGCGCGCACGTTAAGAAATTACAGAATTGCATCTCTAAGCTTTCTTTGTTGGGGGGGGCAGTGATTTCTGCACGAACCCACTGTCAGTGTTAAAATTATAAGTTCTGGAAAGGAAGGGAGGGAGAGGAAATGGAAACGTGGCCCATGATGCGAGGTTTGCAACGAGCCTTTCTTAAAGACACTGATCAGGGCAGACAGGGACAGCAAAGACACCACAATCAGAGTCCCAGAAGAGATAAAAATAAACCGACAAAAGCCAGGCCAGTCCATCTGTGACCTCGGCTCCATCAGCAGTGAAAGACATCTGCCTCCCAGCCTCCAAACTTCTATGCATTATTCACAAGGGTCATAGCTTCCTCAAAATAAAGCATACCATTCAAAACAAAGCGAGGGAGCCGGGGAGATCAAAACACATGTCGCTCCTTAAAGACACGCATGTTATTTTTAAGTTGTTTAGCATTTCAGTAACTTTCAAGCCACAGGACTTTTTAGATGTGAAGGCCAGGGCTCCGTTCTCCAGAAAGGAAACCTCAACCGCCCAAGACCTTCCCATTCGGCATTCGATGTGGTGGTTCAAACGATGTCACCCAGAAGCGTTTTCC